TAGATATAGATATAGATATAGATAGATATCTATATCTATATATATACCGTTTCCAGAGCACTGATGTAAAATCCTGAGCTGCTCATCAGGGGATCCTGTCTGGTCTGGTCTTTCTGCCACTGTCCCGGCCTGAGTGAAAAGGCAGCTGTGGGTCATGCGGCCGAGTCCTGCGTGTAGGTCACCTGCTCCAGCTCGTCTGCCAGAGTCAGTGTTTCCGGCGCACTTGATGCCGATGCGGAAAAAGAAGACTGAATGCAATGGTGTCAAAAGAATTTGTCGGGTTTTTTTTTAAGTTTATTTTGAGAGAGGAAGAGAGTGCGAGAGAGAGAGAGAGAGAGAGAGAGAGAGAGAGAGCATGTGTGCCAGTGGGGGCAGGGGAGGGGCAGAAAGAGACAGAGAGAGAGAATCCCAGGCAAGCTCCCTGCCGTAAGGGGCTCCATCTCAGGAATGCGGAAATCACGACCTGAGCGGAAACCAAGTCAGACGCTTAACCAACTGAGCCACCCAGGTGTCCCAAAGAACTTGTCATTTTACAGAAACACTCTAAGAATCACACTATGAGAATTCAATAAATGCATATTCAACAAGTCTGACATGATCTTTTTGGGGGGAGAGGGACTATTTTAGTGCATTGTTTTTTAAGAAGCATTGTTTTCTGCATGAGCAGTAATACAAATAATAAGCCTTTACTATTAAGCATTCAACTAAAGAGTTGATTGAAAAGGTTAGGCTCAGAGGAGTAAATATTTAGAATTTAAAATATGGCTTAATCTTTCCACTATTACTTAATGGTCTACACCAGACTCTTTGGAACGGTTAAGTCTCCATTGGGTCTCAAACTTTGCCACAGTAACTCGTCATGTGACTTTAAGCAAATAACTGAACTTCTCTGAGCCTCAGGTTCTTTTTTTTAATGTATATTTATTCTTGAAGGAGAGAGACAGAGCACGAGTGGGAGAGGGTCAGAGAGAGAGTGAGACAGAATCCAAAGCAGGCTTCAGGCTCTGAGCTGTCAGCTTAGAGCCTGATGCAGGGCTTGAACCCAAGGACCCCAAGATCATGACTTGAGCTGAAGTCAGGTGCTTAGCCGGCTGAGCCAGCCAGGCACCCCTAAGCCTCAGGTTTTTTGTTTTTGTTTTTGTTTTTGTTTTTCTTGTGAAAGTGGAAAAAGAGGGTCTTCTGGGCAGGGCTGTTGAGGATTGAGATAAGGCACTGAAACTATTCAACGTGGTATCTGGCCCTCAATAAATATTTGCTAATATTATTATCCACTGTAATGGGATGGTTTGGGGCCCCTTTATCCAATGTTCCACTAAACAAAATGTATGAATTTGATAAGCAATAAGTAGTACATAAATTAAGAAAGCAAAAGAGCTCATGAACCTAAGACATTGTGTCTCTGACGGCCACAGGCTGAAAAACAAGGGGCCTGACAAGCCACAATGTAGACTACTTGTCCACTAGACTACAAGCTTTTTGGAGTGTGGAGACTGTGCCTTACACACCTTCTATCTCTAGCATCGAATGTAGAAACTGTGTTCAATAAATGCCTGTTGAGACAATAAATGAACACACGAGATTGTAAAACCATGCAGACAGATTCTTTTCATGGATTCCGGAGCTGAAATGGTTTACTGAGCTCACAAGTTCCATTCCACTGGTCCATCTCTAGGCAATATCACAGGAGCCATGAGAGCACAAATTTTGACTAGTCTCAGCCTACCCTCTAAGAAGCTGGAATAAAGAATAAGTGGGACAAAAAAAAAAAAAAAAAAAGAGTAAGTGGGATTTATTGATGTTCTTTGGTCATTTCCTGTAAGACCTAAATTTCATTGTACTGCTCTTGAAGATGAGACCAGAAGTCATCATACAGGCTTTGCAGGTTTGGTAGAGAAAGGAGCACTCTTCATTACGAACAACGGAGCATCGGAGGTACTTAAAGTGTTTCTCACTTTAAACGGGGTCTACAAGAAAATCTTCTTGAACTAACAACGTACAGCAATGTTTTACACACATATTTTAATTTCAATCCTGAAACTATCCTTTTATGAGGTGTGTTTCCTAAAGGTAGAATTTCAACCTTCTTATAAGCAGGGAGGAAAATAAGCTGTCTACAAGTAGTTTTGTTTCCATATAGAGTGACCAGTAGCTACAAAATTGCTGTCCATATGTTGATGTGATCCTACATTGTTTTTTTCTAAAAAAAATTCTGTCAGTTTTTCATTCACAGGATCCAAATAGAACAGAGTTACTTACCAGGAGGAGTTACTATGAGCCTAACTCCTTCTGCAAATATCTTGATCCAGCCTGGTTAGAGGTTATCACACTGGTTAGAGCTTCTAAAAAGATGTCAGCCTTCTTCTGAGCCTCATGGCATGACCAGCAGGTAGAAACCTTGTTCTGGAGATTTGATCTTCCGGGTTCCCTTGGAAGTCCTTGGATATAGGCTTCATGGCATCTGGTATTTTATTTTTCCTCAGATTAATTGACCCAAATATCTGTTTTTTTGGGGGGGGCAGTAGACACAAAAAAGTGCTGATAAGAAATGGAAATGATAAGAAAGAAAAAAAGAAAGAAAGAAAGAAAGAAAGAAAGAAAGAAAGAGGAGGGAAAGAAGAAAGAAAGAAAGAAAGAAAGAAAGAAAGAAAGAAAGAAAGAAAGAAAGACAGGAAGGGAGGAAGGAAGGAAGAAGTGAAGGAAAGAAGTAAAGGAAAGAAGTAAAGGAAAGAAAGAAATAAGTGAAGGAAAGAAAGAAAAGAGAAAGAAAAAAGGAAAGAAAAAAAGAAGAGATAGGGACCAGTGGTCTACCAAGGACTTTTATAAATTACCAGGAAAAGTGTTCAGAGAATTAAGACATTTTGATTTCCAGGTGTTCAAGTGTGTGAAACCGCTCAGACACCACATCAAAGGAAAAGCCCTTCTGTTCTCACAAACACCAGGTCTGCTCCGTTAGCAATTTTGGATTGTACTTCTGAAAGAGTACTCACTTCGGTAACTGAAAATGCAAACATGCCAACAGACATATACTTGAGTAATGTGAACAATGGTCTCCATTTTTTAGCAGCCACGTTGACCATTTGGCAACACAAATCTTTACCATGCAATGCACAATGAGAAAATAATTTCTATGATGACAATATTCTCCTGGAATAAAAGAAGAAATTTGTAGAATTCTATCTCCCATGGAAAAATGGATTTCTTATTAACACTAAAGTTTGAAGACAAACTCAGTTGTCTGAGATGTTGAAAGAAGAAGCCTCTTAGAAGCTGTTCTGTGATCTTTAGATATGCAGGTGTAGCCCCACCTCTGTGGTTAACTAGCTTCGGACAAGGTATCTGCCATCTCTGGGCTCCCATATGCCCATTTGTTGTGTGGGCATTGGGCCATGCTGTCCAAAGGGACCTTCCTGTTCCAACAGCTTAGAAACCTGTGATTAAGAGCAGGGAGGTGTCTGCTGTGGCTGCTCAAGTGAGAAAGGAGTTGAAGGTTAGTGATAAAGAAGGTTTTCTTACAGGTCCTTCTGCCTGTGTGACAGAGTAAGATCCTAGCGGGCATAGTAGCAGGTGTCTTCATTGGATTTGAACACATAATTGATTATCAGATAGAAGATTTTATGTCTTTCTTATGTGTGTCCAAGGAGGAGTTGGGCTTGTCTTGCTTGTAATCTTGATTGAGCCATATAGGATTCATCTCAGGGGCTCTATTTTTTGTTGGAACCAGTGCACTGTGGCCTTCTCCAAGGAACCCCTAGACAGCTTGCAACCTATGTGCACTGTTCTGTGTGGTGTTCGGTTGTTGCAGACTCTGAGTCTGGAGTTCTCTCTCTGTCCAGCAAGAGAGTGAATGCAGAATTAAATGTGAGAGAGGCTAATGTCTGGGAGG